TGGTCTCCTCTGTCCCCAGACGTCTGTTGAGTGTTGAAAGAAGAAGGGGGGATGCCACACAGTGGTAAAAATGGACTTGTCCCAACTTTTTGGGGATTTGTTGACGCCATGAAATTTGGAAACAACAGATTTTTCCCTTAAAATGATACATTCTCTCAGTTTAAACTTTTGATCTGTGATTTGTGTTCTATTCTGAATAAAATATTAGATGTTGGCACCTCCACATCATTGCATTCAGTTTTTATTCACAATTTGTTTAGTGTCCCAACTTTTTTGGAATCCGATTTCTATATACATATTTCATTTTTTCATTTCATTTCATTTCATTTCATTTATTTTATTCATTTCAAATTAAAACACAGGAAAAAACAATTTACAATCCATATGGATAAAAAAAGACAGAAAAGAAAATTTAAAATGAAAGGAAGCAGAAGAAGAAAAAATCTTATAATAACTGCCCCTTCTTAGACAAAAAATCAATACAAACAATCAATTAAAGCAATAGTCATTCATGAAAATAATTTTTCAACAACTAAACAATCAATGCAATTCATGCATTAGTCAACCATGAAACAAATAATCAACTTATAGTAATATAATGATTTTAAAAACATTTTATATTAACCAAATTACATATATCTTTGCAACATTATACTCTTAATTTTTTTCTTGAATACAGACATTGACTGAGCTGTTTTAACATCAGTTTCCAAACTATTCCATAGTCCTATTCCATGTATCAACGTTGACCGACCCTTTAAACTAGTTCTATATTTAGGTTTAACAAAAATATCAGTGCCCTTTAGATTATAACAACTTTTTCTTTTTACAAAAAGCACTTGAATATTTGAGGGCAGTGTATAATGACGTGCTTTATACATTAACAAAAGAATATTATATTCCACCAAATCATAAAACCCCAGCAACTTCATTTTACAAAATAATACACTAGTAATGAGTTTTCGTTATAATTCTTAAGGCTCTTTTCTGCAAGATTAAAATAGACCTAGTAGTCGTTTTGCATGCTATGCCCCAAACATCAACACAGTATATTAAATGTGGTATTATAATTGTATTGTACAGCAAATACAAAGCTTTCTCATTCAATAAATCCTTTACTCTATATAGTACAGCTGTGGATTTGGATAATTTACTTTTTACAAGATTTATGTGCTGTTTCCAAGACAATCTGTCATCAATAACCACACCCAAAAACTTTGTTTCACTCACTTGACATATTTCAATATCATCGATTTGAAAGGAACATCAGTAGTTGTCACTCTATTACCAAAAATCATATAATTTGTTTTATTAATATTCAATGATAACTTGTTTAAATTAAACCAAGTTTGTATAACACGTACACACATATATATACACACACACACACACACACACACACACACACACACA